AAAATCACAGCCATACATTGCTGTGCCAATGAAATATAACCATGTTTTTGATTTCAAATACTTCATTGAAAAACAGTGTCCGAGACTCAAAACATCTATTGAAGGGCAAAGAGTAAAATAACTACAGGTAAAATGGATACAGGTACCAAAGGAAAACCCAAAGACAGTATTTGTAAATTACAGTTTCAATGCTGAAGATTTTATGGAAATAGAAGTTCAGAATACAGAATCTAGACAGAAAGAAAGAATCAGTGGACAAATAGTGAACAAGATATGAAGTTATGATACCAAACCGTCAGTTTCTTTTCAAAAGAAAAATGACTTGGTTACTTTGTGTGCAAAGGAAATTATCCAAAAAGAGTTCCATAAATATAATGCCACTTAGCCAACATACAAGAAAGAAAAGGGTTATGTCACAATGGAATCGGATGAGAATGATTCTGATTTTGACTAATAATGTAAGAGATTTTGACATAGGCATTGAGATTGATCACAGAGGAAGACTTTCAAAGCATGCAGTGTGATAGTTGTATCAGACGTTTACTGAAAACACAAGAATTTCATATTATTATTTGCATCATTGTAGAATAAAACTGTAATTTTTGTTAATATTGTTGGGACAAAAAGGTGCCAACTGCCATATGGTACCTTTTTTTGATATATTTGACAGCAAATGTTAAAAATCATTATCATATTAATTATATCATAAATGAGCTATGTTTTGAAAAAAAAATTGTTTATGTCAATATTCGTATTAATCAATTAATGAATTAGCTTCCTAAAAACTAGTTTGCATAATTATATTTAAAATGCGTTCCAGAATAAAAAAGGAAATTCCAGATGTCCTTTTTCCGGGGGGGGGGGCGACCTACAGACACTTTTTCAGCAACAAATTTACATGCAGAGAGAGATAGAGAGAGTGTATGTTGACATAGGAGAACAATTCCCCTATCTTTTAAACCTCCGACGAAACGCATTGCACCTGTTCGTTCTGCGGATAATATTCCACTATTTTCTATATGGATTTATTTTCTAAGGATAATGTTGGAATCGTTGCTCGGAGTTATTTGATGAATAGTCATAGAGCAAAATATTTCACTTACTTTTAAACAGTCAACATTAATGCCTTATTAATAAATTGAAGACGACCAATACTTTTTTAAAATATGAAATAGGAGGGTTAAAAATATCTGATAATTTTTCGGTACATGCTTACATACTTTTGTTTTTGAAAATATATAGTATAGAAAAAAAATCATACAATAATAATTCACATAAAATAGATAAAATAATAATGGGCTTTATAAAATATGATGACATTTATCTATTAAAGGAACTCCACTGAGGTTTATAAGCTTAAAACATAACATTTTAATTTTTCACATAGATAAACATGAGCAATTTAAACAGAAATATTGATAACATATAACTAAGAAATACACTGAAAGTCATATGTTTGTGCTATTCTCAGTCCGATTTGAGTGAAAAACGTTTAAACGCTTTTCAATTTTGGGTCATTTATCACTATTATAATAATTATCCTAGAAAAACGGAGCGAGCTAATGATCTGAAATTTTGCACATAAGTTATTAGTATAGATCTACATCAAATGGAGTACTAGTCTCAAAATATTATTTGCAGTCCCGTCATGTCAAAAAACCTCAGTGGAGTCCCTTTAAATATGTCATCAAATTGTTAAGGACATAAATATGTGAATCAAATAACCCTTCACGTTTACTTAAAACTATAGGCATGTTTATCTTGATGCTATTGTTTATACTATATTAAACATGTTTCATGTAAAACATATTTTTATTTATTTTACACGTATGAATAAATCATTCAGAAATATTGACGAAATGTAATGCGTTTTTATCATTTTTCGTATTTTGTCTGTATAAGCTTTCTTTTAGTGCAGTATAGCCTATTTTTCGTCAATATGCATATTACAAATAAATAAAAAAGAGGGCTGTAATAGCTGCACTCATTTTAAAACAGAGGGAAGAATATATTTGACTGAAAATTTACTATTTATTATAATTACGGTATTTGAGCCGCGTCACGACAAAACCAGCATAATGGGTTTGCGACAAGCATGGATCCAGACTAGCCTGTGCATCTGCGCAGTCTGATCAGGAGACATGCTGTTCGCTTACAAACTCTATAACAAGTACAGAAACTGATAGCGAACAGCATGGATCCTGATCAGACTGCGCGGATGGGCAGGCTGGTCTGGATCCATGCTGGTCGCAAACCCATTATGTTGGTTTTGTCGTGACACGGCTCAATTTTATTTTCATTATGATTATTAATTTATCATATCTTATCCGTGTCTTCAACGACTGGTGAAATATTTATTTTCATACCTCTCAATCAAGTAAATAGTAGGGAAAAAATACCTTAATATCCTCTTTTCATTATATTCTTAAATATCCTTAATATTGCATACATAAAATGCGTAGATTATTATTTTTCCTGTTTTTAAACTTTCAGAATTTATTTTTTACAGCAGGGAAACTTATTCCCGTATTTTCACTAGTGTCTTGCCAGACAACATTTTTCTGAAGTCAGCCACATCACAAAGTTAAAGCATTGTCTTTCAAATTTCAAAAAAGTCGAACATGAGAAATTGTATATAATAAAATGAATTTTTTCTCTCTAAATACATGATTAATTTTCACATTGTTGCATGAAAGTTTTGATATTTCACTCGTCGTGAAATATCTATTTTCATACTAGAATTCCTGTATTTATAGAAAGAAACTTAACCATCACCTATTTAAATTGAATCATCTTTTATCTTCTATAGGTAGCGTATTAAAAAACAAATGAAAATGATTTCGTCGTCACTTATTTATTATTTTATTTTAGTACGATACATGTGTAATTCATTGTCCAAGATATGTTTGTTAATTGCTGAAAAGTAAAACAACTAAAATAGAGAAGCAGCACTTGGTGAAATCTAGGTATGGTGTGATATCTTGTTGTATTTTTCTATTACATCAGTTTCTTCACATCAAAGATCCTTTATCTGAAAACAAGTATTGAAACAACGGTTAATCGTTGTATAATACAACCTAGTTTAACGTCATCATTTGTTTTATTGATCACAAACATTTAAATGAAATAAAAGAATAAAGTTACTTCATTTTTGTATGGAATTATAAAATGTAAAACCAGATTCTGTATTTATATATATATATGTGTGTGTATTAATATGTATTTATTAATTTATAAAAAGCTTAAACTTTTAACGTAAATAAGATAAATAAGAAAATAACTCCCATACGATGATTTCATAGCATATGTATTTCATTCATATAATTATACAAGGATTGTATAAAACATATCTTCCTTACACTTTGCCTGTACACTGACATTTGCTTAAAATATTATTTTAACATTCTACAATAAAATGAAACAATAAGTGAAAATTCTTGCAACCTGCTGCGTTAGCATAGTATAAAGGTGTCATAAATATAAAACAGTAAGGGAATAACTCCGCCTATTTTTTAATCAAACGCTTGAATCGTTCTAGCTAATAAACCAGTAAGTTCCATTACAGCTGATGTAACCACAACTGAGAATTCATTAATAATTTATCGGCTAGTCGAAGTTCATGACCTCGTGTAAATTGTTTACAAGTGTCTGCAATTTGTAACAATTTTCAACATGGCTAATGAAGATACGACTTTCAGCGAACTTATTTGTTATTTTCTTCACATGGCCTATAATAGATACAAGAAAATACGCATTTAAAATAATTTTATTCTAAATGTTTTAATAATATCGTTTTAATCGCTTCATTATTATGTTTTTATCTTTTTTTGTATCTAAAGATATTATATCAATATTCTTACAATGTGCACAGATAAAGAAAATGTTACTAAATCATTTATATTTTTTAAAGAAACAACAGAGATTTCTTCTCAGTTTTTATTTCCTCATTCAAAAAAAGTAACCTTTTTCGTCTTTTGGGTCTTAATATAATCGATAATCGACATAAAATGATGTACAATGAACATATATATTGCATAAAAAGTCAACTTATTAAATCATGATAATGATAAATGTCATATCGCCTGAACAGAAAAACTGAAATTAATACCTTTGATTTGCATTTGATGCACGCATAATCTTTCGCTCTATTTAAGTGTAGTCCATTTGATTATAAAACAATAATAACACGCTACCACATCCTAATAAATGTTGTATACATGGTACTTCTGCACATCATGTTTTCCATTACGATGAGATAGCTATAGTGTCCGCTTAATTCGTTCCAGATATTAAATTACGAGTCAGAATGTTCCAGTAGCAAATTAGATGTAACACCTTAGTGTTAATTGCAGACATAGACGATTACCGCGATTATGTCATAAAAGGGGCAACATTCACTGCCGCGGCAGCGAGTATTTGTGGGTGTGACTAATCAGTGATGTAAAACTGTCTGTTATAAACTCTGAACTATAAATAGCATGCAGTGTTAACCTGCAGAGAGAATGTAAACAAAAACAGCAGAGGTTTAATGGATGTTTTATATAACAAAGACATTATCAAGTCATCTTGTCCAGATATTATTTTTGAAGTCAGTTCCCAGCAAACACCCGACGTTGACCTAACGTTGGATCAACGTTGAATTTTGGTCGCGACGTCGGTGACGTTCATACAACGTCAAATCGACGTTGAATCCCCGACGTCTAACATACGTTTCATTTTGACGTCGACTCGACGTCGGGTTTTTGGTCGGTAATCTGACAATAGGTGAATTTAATTTATGAAACCAATATATATATAAATGAAAGCATAAACAGCGAGAATTTTAAGTTTAAGTTTAGAAAGGGAACATTATATATTTATTTTCTCCATCAAAACAACAGTATCACGTAGGTGGCTAACGTACGAATATTCGATAGGTGGCGCTCTGTAAACGGATAGTCGCAGATCAGTATGAAATATATTTGCTCTATTTTCGTTAAATAATATCTTATCTCCTCGAATTAGTCTAAGAAGTGTTTATATAATTTACAATGAAGCTGTTATCTTTTTTGAGGGCTTCATTTTATAGTGGTAAATAATTTAGTAAATTCGAATTTGCGACTTATCGGATTTGAAATTCAATTGTATTGGCGGACAAAAAAACGACGGGTTGACAGACAAAGTTGTATATTCCAAACAAAAGAAAAAGGTAGGCAAACATTATATGAGCCGTGTCACGACAAAACCAACATAGTGCGTTTGCGACCAGCATGGATCCAGACCAGCATGCGTATCCGCGGAGTCTGATCAGGATCCATGCTGTTCGCTGTCAGTTTCTCTACTTGTTATTGGGTTTGTAAGCGAACAGCATGGATCCTGAACAGACTGCGCGGATGCGCAGGCTGGTCTGGATCCATGCTGGTCGCAAACCCATTATGTTGGTTTTGTCGTGACACGGCTCATATATTGTTTTTCAATGCTAATTTACCGCATGTTTGCATGGATTCGATGGTTATTTGATCATTGAAATGTTTGACTGGTAAAACTTAATGTAACGTGATTTCGCGAGATAAATATTTCTGTTTCCACGTAAGAACACTTTATGATTTATCATTTGCTATAGAACAGTCTGTATAATCGGATCATTTTTCCCACACTATATCGCCATGCCAAATAAATGCACAATCAATGGTAGGAAATATCCTAGCAAATTGAAATCAATAAAAAGTTAAATGCAGTACGTAAGACTCTTATTATTCAAAATGCTGGTAAATAAAATTTCCTCTTATTTCTTATCACATTGAATTTCCCTTAATATGAGGGGCCAGTCATTTACACATGTAATCAGATGCAGTTTGATTTTTGATATCTGTGTAGTTGTTAAACTACTCATTGATAATTGGAAGTAACTTTACCCATACTGTTAGCATACCATGTGTTTCTTATATTTCTGAAATAATGAATTCATGGCATTGAATTTGATACATGTAAATGATATCGACTTTGGTAAGATATATACTGAAAAAGCACATTGTATTTGACTAGCTATCTTTTATTAATGTGATCAAACAACATATTACAATCCAGAAAAACACATTATCATAATTATAAATTTTCAATAAAAGTAAATAGTTTGTTAATTAGCCTGCTTATCAACAAGTTGTATGCTCGTATCATAAAACGTTTTTTACACTAAGCCAGTCTGTCCTTATACACTTAGAAAGACCAGAATAAATGCTGGGCAGAGATAATATCTATAATCAAAAGCAACTGAAAGTACTGGAGTGTCGATTGTGTTGTGAAATATATAACCTTTCACAGCCTGATTTCTGTGTATTGATTACGCCATTTATTTTCGTTGCAGATAATGTAAAGTTTGGGATATTTATTCAAATATTTTTTAGTTCTATTAGACCTATCTCTAAAAAGAAAAAAAAACAGAATCTAGGATGACATAAAATTATAGGTTTTTTGCAGCAAAAGTGTGCCTTAAGAAAGATATTTGGCACACTAATTAAAATATTGGCCCAAAGTTAATGCCGTTCAAGTAATATCCGGTATTGTCTTAATGAACACTTGCCCTGTATCATAACCTTTTTATTGCATTTGCAGCAATGCCTGCCCTGTATTTTAATCTTATCAAAATTTGAGACTTTGGGCAGCCCTTATACTCCATATGGGATCACATGGCCCCACCTGGGCGGCCATGTACTCAATATGGGCCCCATATGGGCAGACCCTTGTACTAAATATGGTTTCAAATGGCAGGGCCCAGATACTTCCATCATGGGTAGATTTTGAATTCGGGATAGATCTATTTCAAAGTACAATTATAAAGTTTGGCTGGACGTTAAGTTGCAACTGGCATAATTCTTGTACTTGCATTAAATATTCAAGTGATTGTTTTAACTGGAACACGACAGATTATGACACAAAGCCTTTTTATTATCCTGCAAGAAAACAACACACAATGTATATGCTTTAAACAATGTTAACTTTATTTAGTAATCTCACTTATGGTAAGAGTGTATCATATATATACAGATTCTCAAAGACACAACTGCAAACCTAGATTCCAATGTCTTTTAAAATTTTCTACATAATTCATAGGAAAGTATTTATATATTTATTGTAATTCATTACAAATTTCTATCTATCCAATTACTTTCATTTTCAAATGAAAAAAGTATTCTATGTTTTATATGATATTTAAATTTTCAAGATATCTTTGTATTGGACAAAATGAATATGATCTACATGAAATATATATAAAAGTTGTTTTCATAATTTACAACTATATATTACACTTTTGGTATGATAGTGCTGAAAAAAAAAATATTATACAGCTTGTGAAATGTAACAAATATAATAAAACAAAACTTTGGAAAACAGTTGGGTTATACTGTTCATAGATGTGTAAACAAAAAATTTACAGCTGATGAAAAGTAACAAAATAATAACAAAACCTTGGCACATAGAAATACTGTTTTATAGACGTGGTAAAAAAAAATATGCAGCTGATGAAAAAGTAACAAAATAGTTTGTACCAGTTTGTAAAATAACCAGCTTTTCATTTCTCATATCTTCATCAACAAAAAACCACAATAAGGCAAGAAATAACAATAGTATTTACAATTCAATGCATTTCAATTGTTAATTATCAAATAGTTATAGTAACCTTTTTGGTGAAACGTTACTGGTTTGGATCAGTTTTTTCTATGTGGCAAATATCATTCTCAAATAAGGAATTTCATTAATCTTTTATCAATTTTCAATGGTTTTATGGAAGTTAACGTTGAATTATTATCCTGACCACTAGCCACTTTTGTGAAAAAAAATTTATCAAATGTTGATTAACTATATAAATATCAAAAAATGTTAACCAAGTTAGAACTGAAATTCGGAAAAAAAATATGACAACAACGGTCAAAAAAATGGACTTCATCTTTGCGATGCTTCCTGATAAAAAGTTTTCTCGCATAATTTCAACCTTTTATTGAAAGGAACCAAACATTAGTGGAGTTTAGACATAAAGTAAACACATACATGTAAAATGTATCAATGTAAATAACATGATAAAGAAAAACAACTTCTGAAAATACCAAAAAGTTTTGTTAATTTCAACTCATGGCTGCGCCACTTTGTGAACAACACTTTAGGTATCCACTCTGTGAAATTAATCATAAATAAAATGTGACATTTACACCGAAATTAACAATTATCCTATAAAATCAATAACAGAACAGTAATTAATTAATGGATATATTCCTTTAAAAAATGTGAAATAATACTGATTTTAAAACGAGATCAAATTTGGTTGTGAAGAAGTTCATTTAAAAAATTGTCAGTAAAAAAATAGTTGTTTCAGTAATTTATCCGATATTATCAAAGTTTCAACAATAACAAAAATAAAGATTTACAAGAAGCATCATTGTACAGTATTTCGACTTGATTTAAAAAAGGTTAATACCATATCTTATATATGTGTTCCCTGTTAGTGTTAAGTTTGGACAAGATGTTATAATTGTATTGATCAGTATCAAAAACATTCCCCAAGCATTAAATGTCTTGATTTAAATAGCAACAATGTTTAATGAAAAGAAATAACAACAGCATATAGACAACAGAAAAAACAGCATATAATGTCAACAACAAACATTACATAGCAGCAAAAATAAACTGACTAGAAGGCAAAGAATTTTGCATTTACAAGAAAGACATGCTATGCTGATGACCTCAAACATTAAAATTAGCAACAAAAAGTATAACAAGATACACAAATGAGCCACTTACTGTAGTTCTGACCCTTATCACATTTTAAAATACTTTGATATCTATTGACTTTCAATCATTGGAATAACTTATATGCCCGATGAAGAAAAGGTTCGAAAATGTAAAATAAAAGTCATTCATTTTATGCTTTTGTGTGTATTACTGATGTATCCGTGAAAATTATATTTGATAATTTCACAGTGAAAATGATCAAAATTTCAAACTTTTCAATGACGAGACTACTTTTTAAAGATTTTCCCCATGTGGTACCTTAATATCATTTTTTGCTGACAATTCTGACATTCTCAGGACTGTTTCAAGACTAACCTATTCCTCTGAATAAAACAAAATTAATTTTCCTTAAAATACAACAACTTTTAAAAATGGCCGCCACTTACATTTCACAAAGCCAGGTCATACATAAATTGCCTGAGTAACAGAAATAAGGTGGGATGGTGTGACTTTTTCTTCTGGAATTGGTTGTTTTTTATTATTAAAACAAGCGATTATTCATATTTTTTAATAAAAATAAATAAAATCATTGCTATTCAACGTTGATTGTCAAACTTTTTGTTCAGCCCAAGACTCCTGTATTTATGAATAATTGGACTTAAATTCAACTAAAATTGATGTTAACAGTGGGAAAACAGATTTAATAATTATTAAAGTTAATATTGAGGAAATTTCATTAGCATAAAATAAAAAAAGACACTTTATTGTTTGTTGTGTAAAATGTAATTTTATATCATTGAGGGACTTTTAAATAACAGTGTTCTCACTCGTGAGAATAATGTTTTTTACAGCTCACTTGATGATATAAAATTTCATCTTACACACTAACAAACAAATATCCACTATAGATTTTGCATTTTTTTTTTAAATAAAAACATGTCTAGTCACTTCCTTCATTTGCTTCAGGTAAGGTCTCGGACACTTTGTTTCTTGCTTTCCTTCCCCATCGCGGTCCCACGCCCCAGCCAGCCACTTTTGAAACCTTTATTTCAATATCCTTCCTCGTCGCAGTCTTTGTCGGCAAGTTCCTTTGGACACATTCTATAAAACAAGCATCCTTATCCTTAAAGAATGAAATGAAATGCAGTGAAATGTAGGTATTGAAACCATTCAAAGGTCATAAGTCACCTTGTAGCATTTTGAGCATAAAATTGAAAATATAAACTAATTCTAGTATGTTTAACAAATATAGATGTTTGTGTCCCGGTTTTACATAGCTTTTAATAATATTCCTGTGATATCGCTGCAGTCAGTTGTAAGCTGAGATCATCTTATCGGTGTATCAGTAAAAGAATGTTAAGGTAAGCAAATAACTTGCTTTACAGGAAGGTGATTTCTGCTTATATTATGCATCACAACACAATGCATGGGATCAAAACCACACAGCATGAAAAATATTCTCTCTTATTAATTTCCATAAAAGCTAATCAAGCATTTTCTTTCATTAAAGCAATACCTGAAGACACAATAACAAGATCTTGGATAATATATATATTTTGAAGCCTTACTTAAAGACACCACTTTGCAAATTCGTAATATATCACTTACTATACAATACATTCAGTATCTAGAGGCCCCAAATGTTTTCTTCCCTTTCAGCCCCTTCATATTGAACATTCTTGCCAGTTCATTTGACATGGTTTCTATCATCTAGCGGTCAACAGTTTCCCGCACAACTGCCCCACCAAACATTGAGAGGAACCGCACCTTAAATAAAGCAGAACATAAACTTTTTTTTAATGTTAATTTTAACGCTACTAATTTTCAAAATTTGTGATGCGCTGCAAGTCACCAAATGACAAATAATTGTCAACTGGACCTCAAATACATGATCTGCCAAGAAAACTGTTTGAATTGACAAATTAAAAGACCTTTCCTCATATATTTACAGCCTAAGTGACTTGTGCCTTTTTGTTTGTCCCCTCCACCGAGTGTAATGGGGCACATTATCATTGTTGTTTTTTAACACGAGTTTATACAGTATGAACAGAATAATTTTTAGCTCGACTATACGAAGTATATGGAGAGCTGTCCTACTCGCCCCGGTGTCCGCGTCGGCGTCCAGATTTTAGATTAAAGTTTTGGTGCAGTAAAATATTTTTCACTATAACTTTGTCATTTCTTAAGGTATCAACTTCAAACTTCAAATATATGTTCCTTATCATCAACCACATCATATGTGACAAGTTTCATAACTCTAGCACTAATATTTTTCAGATTTATCTCCCCTTGAACTTAGAATTTTCCTTAAAAAATACTATTTTTTACTGTTACTTCCTTGTTTCTTAAAGGATCAACCTCATACTTCAAATATATGTACATTATCATCATCCCCATCTTATGTGACAAGGTTCATAACTCTAGCACCAATAGTTTCAGATTTATCTCCCCTTGAACTTAGAATTTTCCTCAAAAAGTACTATTTCTTACTGTTTCTTCTTTATTTCTTAAGGGATCAACCTCATACTTCAAATGTATTTACGTTATCATCATCCCCATCTTATGTGACAAGGTTCATAACTCTAGCACCAATATTTTCAGATTTATCTCCCTTTGAACTTAGGATTTTCTTTAAGAAATATAATAACTTCTTTTCTTTTTTAAGGTATCTACTTCAAACTTCAAAATATATATTTCTTATCATTACACAAATGTTGTGTGACAAGGTCCATAACTCTAGCATGACTATTTCTAGAATTATTCCCTTTGATCTTGAAATTTATGTTAACAAATATTATTTTTTTACTATAACTTAATACATAATTATACATAATTGATTTTTCTTTTCATAGTTTTGTCCTCCTTACTGCGTCCAGTATTTTATTAGTCGAGCTTCGCTGTCTCCTGTGACAGCTCTTGTTGATATTATAATAACAGCGCAAATCCTGGATTTTGTGGGTACTAGTCATTTTCCTGGTATTTTGAAAGCTGCCAGCATTTTGATTAATGAATCGACTGTCTTGTCTTAATAATTAATGTTGAAAACGAGGCCAACTGCCCATGTCTTGTGCTCATGGCTATTATAGCATATCTAAATAATAAGATAACTGTTTCAAATATGAATCAAAAAAATTAAAACAAGCCAGTTTTTAATTCCGAAAGTAATGCAGTAAAGTGTTTGTCCACTGTGCAATATTTTCCTACATAAGTATAGCAGAATGATAATACATTATCATCAAGTGCTAACCACAGACCATTATGTTATTTCGCATTTAAGCCAGTGGATATGTGGTATACTTTTTCAGTTACTAATGGTGCAATAATTACATGACTAACACTATGCTTACCACAGATGACAGCTTTGTCTGATCTCCTAGAAGCTCATCGAATGTTTCCATCTGCTAAGGAGAATGAATAGGGAATGAGATATCTTCAGGAAGCTGCAGCGGTTGGTCATCTGCTGCTGACCTTGACAACAATTGCTACATCATCCTCTTAATTTCACGATTCTCCTCCCGCATTGTCTCCAAGACTCAGAGAATCTGTGTAACAGCAGCTGCAAAAAAGGATTCATAATTCTAGGCTTTATACTTTTAGAGCTATGTGAATTACAAATGAAAAAAATCCAGTATTTTAAATTTTTCCTTGGCTTTAACAGTAATTAACGCTAAAATCTCAAAAGGATTGTTGAGTGTGCAAGGTCACAAAATGTGAAAATGATAAGAAATCATGAATTAAACTTAAATTTTTTTTGAGCTAGGCATGTCATGGGGTGAAAATAAACATTTTTGACTATTCCAAGGACCGTTACTTTGGATAAGAGTTGTGGGGTCAGACAAGAATAGGCGAACATTAATTCACATCATGATAAAGACTAACACAAGTAATCATCAATTTCTTTTGAATTTTTTTTTTAACTAGGGGCGTCACAAGGTGAAACTTTCCATTTTTGGCTGTGTCACTCAATCCAGATTGTTACAACATTTATTGGCTTGTTTTGAGGATAGAACATTTAATAAGTATGTACTGTAATGAATATATTTACAGCTCAGAAGTTTATACTTACTGGGCCCAATAATCTGCCCACGGGAGGGCGTATCAGAAGCACCTTGTATTAGAGAAGCACTTTGCACATCACTGCTGGCCTCTCGCAATGCCTGTGCAGATAAGCAAGGCGGAGGTGAAAGTAGGCTTCGTGCCTGTTTTGGGCGTTGTTGCTTTGTCAATAACTTGTGATGGCCTACTCTCGGTGTCTGTCTCATTCTCATCAGTGGTCACTATCCGATTCATACAGCCTTTTTGATGGCCTATTGACAATAAAATGAAAATACATTAATAAGTAGTTAAAAAGTACATATACATTAAGTGAGTTATTGCACCAAGTGACAATATGATTATGACCTGTACACGGCTGACAAACATGTATTAGTCTATGTTTACGTACCGAATTGTTGTGCCGCAATTTTTTCTACCAAGGATTTTTAGCACGAATGCGCTCGTTTCCTGATAGGATTATTTCATGAACAGGAAGGGCTAGAGACGTGGAGTTGGTCTCATTTGGAAGCTTAATACAAATGTGAAATAATGATAAAAGATTTTTTAATTGTCTGGACAATTGTTTTCACAACGGCCCGGGTAGTGAATCCCTTGCTCGTAGGCTCGAATCTAGAGTTTCCGGCCTTCTCTTAACTTATAGTATGTTTTTAAAGGGGGTCATAATTTACATTTTTTTTTGGTTTTCGAATTTTTTAAGATGAACACAGGTTTAATCATCTATCAGGTCATATTTTTTCTTCTCAGGTCCGATACTCATGCCTGTGCAACAGCTAGAGGGCTTGGTTGGTACTTGGAAAAAATACTTGAATTTGTAATAATAAGTATTTGTATTTAATATTTTAAAATGCTTATGAATGAAATGTTGGTACAAAATGGAAGGGACTTCTAAGGCTAGGGGGGGGACACTGGATTTCAAATGATGGTGTCCCTTTAAAAAAAGATCTCTTAAAATTTAGTCTAGATAGAAACAATATTTTAAAATGTTAGTGTCGACTCCGTCACAGTTAAGTAATTCAACAATAACAACTACACACATGCATAGGTCAGCTAAAGTGCCTAAGAGTCAGGGCGTAAATTCTAGAAAATGTCGCAAATTAAACGACTATTGGGAAATTACATGGCAAAGGCAAACCAAAACTAAACAGTGTTTACAGCTTACCTACACACACAATAAACATGTAAGGATATAATATGAAAAGTCGTTATACGAAATCGTGGTTAAATGCTCGGAATCGAAAAGAAATATTTTTTTCGTGTACAATTTTACAATTTAACATTTCAATACACAATTTGATTTTAAGCGGCAGCGGAAATCACGTCTGCACATGCTCGAAATAATTTTTTCATCAAAAACTGATTTTTATAAATTATTTCTGAATTTATAGTCTAAAAACACATTTTTATATTTAAATAATAAAAATTAAAACCAATATAAAAACTTAACAAATTAATTTCTCGCACCTGCTCAGGCATGCTAATATTTATCGGGTTGCCCAAATGGGACCCATATGGGTCCCTCATGGCTTGTATAAATGTTTAAAATAATGCTACGATTTTATATAAGATAATAGCAATTTATGCCAAGGTGGTCACACTATAGCTCAAAGTAAACGAGTTCTAAAGAAATAAATAAAAGAAAAATCGTTTTTTTCCTTAAAGTGCTGGAATATGGTACCCATATGGGTCTAATATATAGGCGTACCAAAATGGACTTGCTAATATTGGATCCATAGGTCCAATATGGGCATACCCATTAACTTGCCTAGATATAGCCCATATGGGTCCCATATATGCATGTTTTGCTGGGTATGTATTATTCAGTACAGTACCTCCAAAATCTGCATATTCTGCACATAGGTCAATAAGTATACACATTGTGACAATAAGAAATATTTAAGGTTAAATGTGGTAAATACTCTGTGATTACTTCTTACATTTACTTGATATTAATAACCAATACTCGTTACATTAAAAGCATACTAGTGACACCGGCGAGCAACTCCAAAGCAATACTCGGTAAACTGACATGTTTATTTATTTTCAAAATGCACTGTCATCTGAAATTTTATTGTTGTCAGATTGAACGTTTACCTTAAATTTACCTTTGTTCATAGTCTTGAAATGGGATGAAAGTCCTCGTAATATCGAGCAATATCCGGCGGTAAAGGCTCCCACGTTTACAATTTTTTGTAAACCTTTACATGTTTGCTAAGAACCGAATCGATACCGTTTAAACGGTGGTACTTCTATGCACTATACTATACCATGTATTCGAGTCGCCAAATGATGACTTACTTTCTATACAAGTAAATAATGTTCAGTGCTCATCACGATTTAGGCGGCACACATTTTCTGCATTGTATCCGCATTTCGTTATTTAAAAGATCAAAGAAAAATCAACTTTAACAAAAATGAATTATGTCACAAGCGATTATTGCACGGTGATGGTGTGTGGTCCGGGTTGTAAACACCCATTTTCCATTTTTTTACTTTGATAAACCAATTAGTATAGATAAAATCCATGATTACAGGAAATTATTAAGATAATTTTTAAGACAATATGGTCATCTCGAATAAACGGTAAAAAATATCATAACCGTTTATGAATGAAAATCGAAACGAAATCCGTTTAAAAGTGTAACCGTGGGGGCCTTACCGGCGGTACGGTATTCCTCAGTGGAACTAGTTTTTGTTGCTCTATGTTGAATTATCTTTGTTTCATGTGTTCATACCTTTCATTGTTTTACGTTTTCATGTCATAATTTATATACCTTTTCTAATTGAAATTGTTATTGACGAAAGTGTGTGAGAGAAGAATTTACAGTTCATAAATGTTTAGGCTACTGGTTGGGGACCACCAAAACCGGACAACCACCAAGTCCGGACGGCCCTGAAAATGCTTAATTTAGTATTTTCTTTGTTCAGTGGTTGTCACTTTTTTTATCAACAATAAATGCATGTTTCTTCTAAAAATAAATAAATTAATTAATTTCAACCACCGTAAATGGTAATATAATTTTAATGGCTATTTCAAGAATGTTGACGTTGAAATTTGGGGGGTCAAGAAAACAATGCCTGACCTCATATACCATTTTATAATCATTTGCAGAGTAAAACAATAGAATTTCCAAAACTTCAGCATTTGTTTCTGAATCATTGTCTATCATGTTAAAAATTTAAAACACCCAAGCTGTTATATCTGAATTAAATAACGTCATGTACATAAATGTCCGGACACATGGTACTGTAGTGTAGACAATTGAGGTAATTTTGATACCTCCTTCACCTTGTCGAGCCTCAGATATAAGTGTCAATACAATCAGACAGACAAGTTTTTTAGTTAGGGGAAGAACCTAGCTGAACCTTGTCAATTTTTTTGGTCTCTAGGTTAAAACTTATGAAACCTGTACAGAAAAATGTTCAAAAAGTGTCCGCGGTTGATGGTCCCTGACCCTGTTGTATTAATCACAACATCTCATCTTAACAAAGATGATAAAACATACAGACCTTTTCAATTATTTTTAGTATATGTGATCTACCGCTTGATGTTCATCAACTAAACAATCTAAAGTGATTTCTTTTTTGTTGCGGACCGAGTTGAGTGGACACTTATCTTATACCTCTTCTACACATTGATAAGATGAGATAAGTTTTATTTCAAGTCGGCAAGTTTTCAACAGTACAACATCAATGCCACTAGCACCTGTGTACAACATAAGCTCTAGGAGCTTTTATAACCGACTGTATATAACATAAAGTATAAGATCAACAAAGATAAAACAGCTACAATAAAAAAATGATTAGACATGATATATATACATCACATACATAAAATAGACCTTTTTAGATATTTTTATAAAAATGAATCAGATGGTAAAAAACTAAATGATAGTCAGTGTTCCCATTCACGCACAAATCATCAAATGTGAATTCCGTATAATTTACAAAAATCACGCATGAAATTAAAACTAGGTGCGTGCATGCACGTATAAAAATTGAAGTAAAACTGCCAAAAAATTATCCGCAAATTCGAAGCACAAATCAATAATCTACTCACAAATCTCTGAAATTGTTTACAAGACCGTAATTTAATCCGAGGTCATAACTTGGGTTTCCCAGCTGTGCTATTTTTAGCTCATGGACTGGTTTATAATTATTAACGACGCTTCGCACGCTTTGCTCATTCTGGGATAATTTATTTTGTTTATTAGTCAAAATCGCTGTATGAGTATCCGATACTTACAATTTCTTCAAAATAGCCTGATATTTGTGTCAAATAACGAAGTCGAAACTGCATTTCAATCTGCTTGAATAAAAATGGCGTCGTTGAAGAGCCAATCACGTGATTCACTCGCGCATTTATATAATTTCTGCGTACAGTACAAATTTAAACTAAATTGTAATTTTAATTTTCAATACTTTAATACAATTATAAATGTATGACAACCCCTTCTATATTCAATGCATAAATGGATTTTCTAACTTGTAACCGAACATACGGAACTATTTTTTTTGTCAACGAAATTCGGTTGGCAATAAGAAATATTTCGGTTAGCGCTAGCGCGCGCGGAGCAAAAATACCGTATATCGTGAAATGGAAAGGCAGAGTTGCGATTGTTTGGAATTGCGATTGTTTGCCTGTAGATGGGTGGTTATACCTTTGTGTCGATTTACAATCGACACAAAAATGACAGTAACATGTGAATTTCTTTGATGTACGTTGTATGAGCATTTGTACAAAGTACATTGAATATAAAAAAATAACAATATCAATTTTTGCGGGAGTAGAATTAATTTCATTTTGGTATTGGTTATATCAGTTTTTCATGCGCTTATGAGTTAACTAAGATTAATAGTAATTGGATTTTGCCTATTGTATTAGACAAACATCCTCCCACCACGTACATGGTTAAATTCTAAAACGATTATATTTCGTCTTTCAGATTGTGAAAATTATGATAATTCAACATGTGTCAAAAGTTCAGGAGGAAGATAAAAATATTTAGAGGAAAAGAAAAAGGAAAACCTACCAAGATTTTGTGACAGGTATATTTCAAAATATTATAGAAAATACAGTGATCTTATTACCCTTGATTTTATAATGAAATTCACGAAGCCATTTTTATCAAAATTAATAGATATATACAGTAGGTACACGAAACTACATGGTTTAAACTAAATTAGAAATAATAAGTATCTTTTTAAGTAGTTGGAGAGTTTTGTTAGAATTTCGTTTAATTATAATATGTATAAGTGATTTATTTCTTGCGCTTGTAACTGATTATTTTATTTTTTTATTTTCAGAAAGTGTGATGAGATCTCAGGTTGGAGACGGTAATGATACGCTTATAGTATGCCCCAGTTCGACATAGTGTATGAGGACGAAAGAAGCTAGAATACTAATGAAGATACATGAACATTGCTATTTATAGTTATAACAAAATATTCAGAATATTATTCCATTTAACATTCAGATCTAGATTCAGTTATAAAATACAAAGACAAATATACAATCAGTGAGTTGGATAGATGATTGAAAAATCCCAAACTCAGAGTTGATATAAGAAAAAACACATGCATGGATGTTTGCTATATAAAATGTCAGTGTTAATATTCAAGAAGGATTTAAAGGATTTTGTTTATCTTATTTCTAAAACATGCTTAATTAATACATGAAGCGTTATTAAAGTACATACCGTCAAGTTTAATAGTTTCAAAAAATATTATGTAAATCTTGCATTTGTTATAGTACCACATTTCTTGTTTTGTATTTGTGATTCCGAGTATAAAATAGATTGCTAAAATCATAAGAATGCTTATTTATTAACCCTATTAAAGAGCTTCAAAATGAAAAAAATCATATTCCAAAAGTTTTGAATGAGGTTAAATCATGGTCAGAAAATTTGGTCAGATAAGGTTGGCATATTGTCAGAAAATGGACAGAAAAGGTTGGATTATGGTCAGAAAAAGGTTGGATTATGTCCAAATAATGGTCAGAAAAGGTTGGATTATGGTCAGATAATAGTCAGAAAAGGTTGGATTATGGTCAGAAAAGGTTGGATAAAGGTCATTTATGACGTTGTATAGACGTCGGTTTCTGACGTCTAAAAAACTTTCAAATCCAACCTTCTGCCAACGTTTACCCAACGTCAGGGTCTAACGTCAGTACAACGTTGGTACAACGTCTTTTGTTTGCTGGGTTGTTTTTCTTCTTTTTTCACTGAAATGCTGTATGTGTCCTTCATCAAGTCAGACAATTATATCAAAATCCAAAAGATGTGCCTTACATGGGGCATTTCTTTTGAACAACCTGCTAAAAATGTTCTTGACAGGAATTTAAAATATTTTTAAACTGTTAATGTATAAAATTGTTATGCATATGCAACATTTAGTTTGATTAACATTTGTGAAATGTAATTTTTGACTACAAGATATTTACAACAAAATATAGTGTAAATGAAATATACCTGGAAGTTACTTTTACTTTTCATGAAGTTTAAACCATTCAAATACAAATTAAATCAGTACTTTGAAATTAAAAAAAAATCATAAATTAATGGATTATTGTAACATTGTTGGATTTGATAAAGCAAGTCAGTAAAAAGTATTGTTTTATTCAGCATTCCAATGTGTCGTCTGCCTCCCTGAAATATACATCGTCTGCTACAAATCTCTCTCCCTGAAATAAACACTGCCACGTGCTTCTGTTTACTACTGAAGGTTCATGACCTGTAATTATCACATGGCTCCTCCCAGGGAAATTCAAACTTCAAATTTGACAGCCAGTATTTTTTTCCAGAAATACAAAGTTATATTTTGAATAATTTTGGTCAATCTTTATCAAAAATATCTATGCCTACAAACATGCCAAGTGTTGTTTTAATGCATTTGGTAATTAATCTTAAATCTTTGAAAAAGGGTCCCTGAAGTGAAACATGCATAAAATTAATAAGAAACCTGCCCTAGCACCATCTGCTGGCTTTTATAGTACAGTTCAATCTGATTATACAGATTGCAAACAAAACCATAGTTGCAGATAGCACATGTATATTACTATAAAAACTGTAACAATAGGATGAATTTATGACTTGCTCATCACGAGCTGTTATGTGTATCACGTGTACCGAAAACTAACAGTTTTAGGGCAATAAAATTGGTAGCATTTCTGATGCATAATTAGCCTTTATCTTATTGCAGAGTATATGTATTCATGCATATATGTCTAGATTAAATTTTAAGGAACTCTGAAGTTCTATTTTTTAAAATGTTATAATTTACTCAGTATACAAATCAAGTCGCTGTGAGATAAATAACAACTGAAACAAACATTAAATGAATTAAGTGTCACTGATAGTTAAACATATTTTCTATCAAAGAGTTTCTTATATATATCAAACTATTAGTAAGAAGAAATACTGATATTTCAACAAGAAATTAGATTTATATTTCTTTAAGTAGCCAAAGTTAAGCATTTTGAAAATAGTGGAAACTTTCTCTCTATTCAGGTTGTTTAGAGTGCATCTTGTCTATTCAGGGAAATGATGACTTTAGACTATAATAAGGTCATTCATTCGCGGGCGATAAAAACTCTAATATTGTAATCAGCTGGAAACATATGAGCACGCGTTTTCCTTGCAAACAACATGCAGTTCCGCACAGTGATACGGGGTTAGGCCGCTATTCCATTTATACGTGATCAGTGGTCCGCGTCCGTCATCCGCATCCGTTACCGATTCGCTAATCAAAGAATACGTTGAATCTATTCCTTTTGTCCGTTTACCATCCGCTTCCGCGACGGCATCCGCGACGTTTCGCAGGATGAGCGATTTTTTACGGACGCGGACAGTCACTGACATGTCTCATCCCTACAAAATGCCTCGAACAAAATTAAATACTTTATCGATTTCGAAAGAAAATACTAAAGAAGTCACCAAAATAGTGTAGGAGAACATATAAGTTTATGATGCAGCAATGACAGATTAAAAAAAACAACATCTGGTCATCGGTTGCTAAAGAGATGTTATTTGAAAACCTAACTGATATTCAATGTTTGTTACCTAATTCTTTGATGTTACAACTGTTTTTGGTATTAGAATGAAATTATATCATATTCTACAAAAAATTATCCTCTGTTCGCTATACTTCAATTAAAAGTATATAGAAAATAACGTACCTATGGAATAATACCCACGGACATGCCCGGACACGGATCACTGACGCGGACCACTGATCACGTATAAATGGAATAGCGGCCTTATCCATCTTCAAATTAAATGTTACGTCTTTAGACGGAAAGATGCCATATAATTGACCCTCCGCGAAAATTGCTGATGAAATACATGTATGAACCGCCGTTCTTACATTCATAAAATAATAAGATAAAAATAAAATCTTAACCGTGAAACATAACAACCCGTTTAAATGTCCGATGATCCAACATACACGTATAATTGTTTGACCGACGTTCCTAAGAATAACGCTTAATGACTTGTAATCAAGGAAACTCAAACCCAAACAATATACAGTACAAACTTGAGTAAAAAACAACGAAGTACGCATTACGCATTTCAAAATATAAGATAGGTACATATTCATTTAACACTTAAGAAACTAACATTTTATTGCAATTAGACTGTACAAGCACAATTAACTTATAAACCAAGATATACGTTGCTTAATATATTGTTCAAAACTTCGCTTTTTCAAATACATGTTCATTATGACCCGGATGCGCATAATTGACAGGTATGTTATACGATGACATCTTATTTTCATCAGGTTGCAGTATTAGCCCAAACCGAAGTTAAAACTAAAAGGTGACTCAGTACATAACTATAAGCATACTGCTATAAGCTATATCTTTTTAACTTTGTGATAATAATAGACATTTTTCTATCCCCATTAGCCCAGTTTAATACATTAAATGATTGACGTACAGTCCTACGCACAAGCCCAAGATTTCCAGTTTTCCCCAAAATTTCCTATCTCTGGCCAGTGATGAGCATTTAATTATAATTACACGGCTTGTCACTGTATTGCTGATAGCAGCACCCTACGTAGAATGTTTTATGATCCTATCATGTTTCAATGTATAGTTGGAAGACTAGAGAACATTTTAGATGTAACGAAAAACTAATATTTAACTTTTTAGTGTAAAAATGTACCAAAATGATACAAGCAAAATGTAAATAAAGTTTTTAAAGTAAAATTCTAAGTTCAAAGAGGAAATATCTCTTGAAATAAGGATACTAGAGTTATAAACCATGTCATGCATGATGTGAGTAATGACAAAGGACAATTATCTTAGGTCTAGAGTTGCTGTCATTTATAATAACAAAGATAATTGTTAGAAATATATTAATTTTCAATAAATCCCTAATTCAAAAATGAAATGGAGATAATTCTAGAAATACAGGACTAATGAGTTATAAATTTAATCCCACCTGATATAGGTGTTGATAAAAAAACATATTTATGCCACCGAAGGGAGGCATATTAAAATCGCACCGTCCCTCTGTCTGTCTGGACGTCCGTCTGTCTGTGCGTCCCCACTTCATTCCTATCCGGACTATAACTTTGTCATGCATGGAATGATATTTAAATAACTAGGCATTAATGTCTACCACATCAAGACGATGTGTCGCGTCCAAGAATTACGTCCCTACCTCAGAGGTCAAGGTCACACTAACATTTTGAAGTTTCACTTCATCACAATAAAAGTTTATAGGTTCACACATTTGTGTCCGGAATGTAATTTTGTCATGCATGGAAGAATTTTAAAATAACTTGGGATAAATGTCTTCCACACCAAGACGATGTGTCACGCGTCAACTTATCACGCCCCTACCTCAAAGGTCAAGGTCACACTACCATTTTGAAGTTCACTATATCAAAATTAGAGTTTATAGTTACACACATTCGTGTCCGGACTGTCATGCATCAAAGGATTACAAAATAACTAGGCATAAATATCTTCCACATCAAGATGACATGTCGCGACTAAGACCCCTATCCCTACCTTCAAGGTCAAGGTCATACTTATAGTTTGAAGGCATTCATTCATTCGCGAAGAGTTTGAAGATACACATTCATGTCCGGCATTCATGGAAATCTTTTATAATAACTTTTGCACAAATGCCTACCACATCAGGACAATGTATCGCAGCTAAGGCTCATGTCCGTCTGTCCGTTTGTGTGTCCCCACTTACACAACAATCATGTCCAGTATGTAACTTTATCATGCATTGAGGGATTTTGAAATAACTTGGCACAAATGTCTATCTCATGACAACATTCTGTCGTATCCAGGAATTCAAAGGTCAGGGTTACACTTATACGCTATCACAATAAGAGATTATAGGTACAATAATACAAAGAAAAATATTAAGCAATTAGTTACTTTCATCCTCTTTTCTTTTAATACTACCAGTCCTGCATGCTTAAGAAACTTTTTCGGGGGCATTCGTCACTAATCTTGTGTGACAGCTCTTGTTGAAGTCCGAATTTAATAAGGAAAATTCTAAGTATAAAGGGATAATGATTCTGAAAATATTGATGCTAGAGTTATGAAGCTTGCCATGTTATTGTTTAAAGTTATAAAATATCAATTTTTATTTTAAAAAAAAAAGTTTAATGGGGGAAATAATCCTGGAAATATTCATGCTACAGTTATGAATCTTGTCACACATGATAAGGAAATATATTTGAAGTTAGAAGTTGATACCTTAAGAAATAAAAAAGAAAGTAAAAGTAACTTTTTTTGAGAGGAAAAAAATCATGGGGAGATAATCCTGGAAAAATTGGTGTTAGAGTAAAAAAAAAAAACATTGTCACATATGATGTAGTTGATGATAAGGAACACATGTTTGAAGTTTAAAGTCAATACTTTAATATGAAATGAAGATGTTAGAGTAAAATATAACATTATTTTAAGTTCAATGGGATATAGTTCTGGAAATACTGGTTTTAGAGTTTTGCACCTTATCAAATGATGTGGATGATGATTAGGAATATATATTTGAAATTGATACCTTAAGAAATAAAGAAGTTATAGGCGCATAAACATTAATTTAAAGTATGGACGCTGACGTCGACTTCTGCGGATGTTTCTAAATTCAAAATTTTACTATTTCATGTTTAAATGTTGAATTCTGCTTAAGCCGGTGCTAGGGGGTGTGGACGGTAACTTGCACTTTCCAGTACCGTCCATGAACAGGCTCAATCAAACCGAGCCTGCAACATTTTCAATTTTACCGTGTTGGGCTTTCTTTAGGGATTCTGTATTTATCTATTTTGCAAACCGAGGTGAGTAGGACAGCTCACCACATTCTTAGTATAGTCGAGCTAATCCTTACCTGGTCATTTTAGTTAAGAGGCTTGCACTTTGCAGTAAAAGTTACATCTATGAACAGTTTTTTGTTTTTGTTTTTTGTTTTTTAGCGAGCCGGGAGGGGTTCAGTCAGTAAAATGAGTAACAGTGACACTTAACTATTGTCATAATTTACGTTATAAAGTATATTTACAAATAATTGCTAAGTTTCACAATTCAATTAGGCCACAGACCCATTTACAAAAGAAAGGAGAAAAAAAAATTGATAAATTTAGTGAGTGTATCTTCTATAGAAATTTGATCCTTCAAAGTTGGGGCCATTAGATAAGAATACAGAGGGGCAATAAATAATGACAAAACTCTCAACTCAATGGACGCGTTAATGGGAGATATACAGTTAATAGTGATTTACTAGCTGATAAGCCCTTACTGAGATTCAGCAGGCTGGAAGGGTTTATGCGTAGGACTGCGTATGTAAAATGACGTAAAAACATCGTCGGCCACGTAGCAGAATTACACAGGTACCCCCATATTACTACTGCGAGACTTATGGTCTTTACAATATGAATCATTGAAAGCAAGAAATAACGTTAACATTTATAGGTTGGTATGAATAAAGACGGCGTCAGGCTTCTAGAGATAAAAATTGTTTGTCACGCAGCGGAAAATCACGGATACCCCCAAAGTATTATAGTCAGGCTTATGGTTTCTACAATATGAATCATTATACTAAGCATGAAATCACAAACATGTATAAAGGTGCGTATGTATTAAGATGACACCAGACTTCCCAAGAATAAACGTATTCATAAAGGCAGAGTTTATTCCGCTGTCCAATCTATATTAAGCGAGGTGCTATGTCTCAGTCTCTCACTCAGACTGGGCACTAAATAAGTGATTTCCAACTTCCTGAAAATGGGAATTCATGGTGTGAAGCATAAACGCGTGTCATTTGATGTTTACACAACAACTTACAAAGAAATAAAATGTTTCTATTACGCCTAACTTTGATTCTCTTCTTTATCTTGAATATTTATCAATTTAAAAAGAATAATATATTGGCGAAATATCTGGTAAGGAATATGGTGGG